ACACTGTTCTGGGCCGGGCCAGGCGCTGACGACCGGGCCCGGGTTTCTATGCCGGGCCGGGTTCCGACCCGACCGGGCCTGGGCCGACGGGCTTTTTGGACACCCCTATTGACATGGCACCTACATGACATCTTTACTTCTTGAATATTTTTCCTCCCCTCAAGGCTCCAAAGTACCTCGGAAGTAGATGAAATTGAGTCAATTTAGGAATAAAATCAATTTTGTTATTATATGGATATTTTCATACTCTAAATAAAATCCTGAAAAGTCATCTTTTTCTCTTCCTAACAATATTTATTATTGCTACCAAACAAAAAAAGTTAATGAAGTGGAAGAAACATTATTTCCTCTACCTTCAAAATTTTACGAAACAAACAGAAGAAGAAGTACTTTCGCTACTTTCTAATTCATAATTTCAGAAGTAATAGGTTTGATTTACTTCTTACTTCTAATACTTCCTATCAATTAAACATGCCCTAAGTTATAGAGACCCAACCTCGCGTCGGTTTATCTGATCCATCACTCAGCTCAGGTTTGTCATTAACGAAAAAGACTTCGCTAAGAGCAAAATAGATCTAGTACAACCTTCCAACACAAAGATAAAGGGAAAACTCCTACATGAAGCTTTATAAATATATCATATAGGTAGGAAGGCAAGAATTCTACATGGCATATATAACATCGAGGTCGCCTATTAATATGCAATTATAAACGCACCAATAAAACGATAGTAACTATAATGTTAGATCTTAGATGTATTAGTATTATATACATGACGTTTCAAGATATATGTGAACTCGTTTTCTTTTCTTCCTATACAATATTACTACAGAGGGTGTTCCCTAGATGCTGATCGAGTCACAAAAAATTGATTGACTATATTCACTAAAATACTTAGAAAAGTGTATTATGTGGTTACCTTGTAGTGTTAGTGCCCTCGACGCTCGTGCGGTCGGATCTTAGCATGTTATCTTATCCATTTCAAAGAACCATGGTCGGTTGCAATGCACGCACAAAGTATAAAGTGATCAAATAATATGCATGTTTATTCTAGACAAAAGCTCTAATCCAAGAATGAAAGGACCACCGGACAATACATCGGGCCTACTCTACTAGGATCCACATCGGATTCGTTAATTGTCGGTTTAAGCTAAGGGCCTGTTAGGTTATTTCCTAAAAAACCAAAAAATAGAAATGAAAACTAAGAAATCTCAAAAAGTAGAATTTCACACATTTCCATCCATTAAATTCACCCACAACATCTAATAAAATATTATTTTTATCCAACAACTCATCCATCACATCTAATAAAATATTATTTTCATCCAACAACTTATCCATCCATCCACCACATCTAATAAAATATTATTTTCATCCACAACATCACTCAACTCATCTCATCTCATATTTAAAAATCACTTACATCATCCAATAAGATTGTGACAACTCATCTCATCTCATTAACATTTTTATTTTTTTTGTTTTCCTCCCAAAAAGCTAGGAAAACAATTTCCTTAAGTGTGAGTCACATCATCCAATAATATAATGACAACTCATCTCATCTCATCTATTTTCTTATTTTTAAGAAGAGACCAAGCAAAAGAAAACAACCTATTACAAGAAATAGGTTTCTTATAATTCATTTACTTATTTTTTTTCGCCAACCAAACAACATCAAAACAATTTTTCTTAAAAAATCACTCACATCATTCTATAATAAGGGCCTGTTCGTTTGCCTTAAAATCTCATCTCATCTCCATTTCTTTGATTTCCTTCTTTTTTTAGCTAACCAAACAATCCCAAAACCTATTTTTCTTAGAAATAGGTTTCATTTTCTTTGATTTCCCTCTTTTTTTAGGCAAACAAACAGCCCCTAAACATAAGAAAAACATGCCACGTCTCATGATGACATGGCCATAAAGCTAAACTACTCCAGACTATTCACTTTTCATCCCCCCACCCCCAAGTATAAACTTGTTGCATCGATTTTGATGGAAAGAAACTTAGGGGCTGTTTGGTTCCCTGTTTTTTAGGGAAATGCTCTTTTGAAAGCCTGTCAAAAACACAAAAAGTATCACTTTTTTGCAAACTTTCAAGCAAATTTGCCTCTTTTAGAGGTGAATCTCTTCTAAAAAGAAGATTTTGGCTGAAAACCTGCCAAAAAGTGACACTTTTGACACTTTTGATAGACTTTCAAGAGTCTTTTCCTCAAAAACAGGGAACCAAACAGCCCCTTAGGGTGTGTTTGACAAAACTCCTAAAACCGGGTCATGACTGAACCTGATCCTGTTTAATATTTGTTTCTTATTGTCAAAAACTGGGCCGGTTCTAACCTAGTTTTTCTTATGCCAAAATATTACCATTAAACCAGCGTAGTGTTGGATCACAGAGGCGGTGA